ATTTCTGTATCATGAGAAGTAACAGTGTCATGTAATCATGTTTACAGATAAGAATGAGAGAAGAGAAGAGAAAGAATTGAACCTTCAAGTGAAGGAAGTTTAGACAAGTTGAGTTTAACTGTGAGATTGAAGCCATCTCTTGGAGGATCAAGGATATGAACAACACTACCATATGCTGCTTTGATTGCTTCAATGGCTCCAAATGGAAGGCCACCGGAGAATTCAGTCTCTGGAGGTGGAGTGGGGAGTGATACTGATAGATGTAGAAGATGTGGATTCTTTATCGATGCCTGAAACCTTTACTTGAATCAATGGTTTTAAATTTTTAATAATTGATTAAGAATTCAAATGTTTCGTATCGACTATACCTGAATATGGTAACGAACGTCATCGAATTCAACCCAGTGGCAATCCAACTCGACTCCTTTCTCGATACTGGTATGAGGTATTAGGTATAAGAATCATGAAGCGAAAAGGATAGATTTGGAGCTGAAATTTGATAGAACTTACTTTTGAACGCGGTTTGTTAAGATCTGGAGGAGGTATCTTGACTGAGATTGAAGTAATATCATCGTCTATCTCTGTGTATTTGTGCGCTCGCTCATGCGTCTTTCCGCATCTTCAATTTCTGATTTCTTTTTTGACTTCACATGGAGATTGAGGAATCGGCTTCATTCTCGTCCATCATAGTGGATACCTAAGAAGGTAAATATATGGCGATCAAATTCATCGATGAACACTGTCGAATTAATTTGAATGTGAATGAAATGGTCCATTTCTTTCAGCAATGGTGGAATAAAATCATAAATGATTTAAAAATGAATCAAAATAAACGATTAAAAGACAAAAAGTAATCAATGTTCAACCACATCTAAAAACTAGGGTTTAAAAAAAAGCCATGATCGACTTAGCCAGACGGGTTTTGTCTGCTTCCAGAATTCAACAAGCAAAAGTATTTGCGATTTGTAAAGTTAGAGATTCATGATCTTGAAGACTATTAACGCCACTCTATATTCTTTACCCGTTCCAATTAGTTTTCGGATACCCAATTGGTTACCTTAGAAGATGGACGACGACGGAGACGGCGGATTCCAGAGAGCAATGAAGAAGAGTAGCGTCGGAGAAGGAGAGTCGGGAAACGGAGAAGATGAATCGCGGCGGAGCGATGTTCGACGGGGACAGCGACGATAAATCGGAGAAGGCGTTGAAACGGAGAGAATGAGGTGATGGGTGGTGGTGCCGCTGTGAGATTAGAATAGAAACGACGGTAATTAAGATTACTCAATGTTCGTACAACGATTAAAAACCGAAATTGTTTTGGGTTATTAATTGAAAAGAGTCTTAAGTTATTTATTATTATTTTTTTAAGAAGGTAGAATATTATTTTTTAATTATATTTTTATGATTTATCGTTTAATAATGTTATTTTTTGTTGGTTATAAGAGATGACGTTTTCAAAATGGATTGTGGCAAAATAAAGAATAGTTAAACTTAAACCTAGTATGGATCGATTATCGAAATAACAATAATTAAATACCTTTTTTTTTTCTATGTGGCTGTTCAAAAAAAAAAAAAAAAAAAAACCAGATAATCCATATCGATTACAATTATCCATTTATGCACTTAAAATCGGGTGTTTATGCTTCCACGGATATCAAAGCAGTGTGTACTTTCCCAACCCAATTGAATGAACACAACATAGTTTTAGACCCTGGTGATAATTGAAAACTATGATCAAGCATACATTAAAAATCGATATAGATAGAAATGTAATTAACCACGATCAGGCAAACATAAAAATCTAAGATCAGGCAGACATTATGTACCTTGATATTTCACCCAAGTAACAATTCAATCTCCTCAGTAAATCCGAGACCAATAACAGATAACAAGATACGATTTTGAAATGTTTCCAAAGTAGTCGTTGTCGTCGTTGCTTGAGCACAATAGTTGAGCAGGTGACAATGAATGAGCACTGTCCCGCTATGGAGAAGTAGTGGAAGTTGAAAGAGATGAGGACGAAGCTTGAGGTTGAAGACGAAGACAACAGTAGACGATGTTTCTGTTTCTTTTCTTCTTGGGTATTCTTTATTCGAGAGCTTCAGTGGTACAACTTCAGTGGCACGACAAGAAAGAAGAAAGAATACATATCAATTTATTGCAAGAGAAGGAGGGTGCGATTTTGCTGATTGAGTATCCCATATAGCTGGTGGGATAAAACAATGAGGGAAAACATATCTATAAAATCGTAGCTCCCTCCTTTGAAAACCAAACCCAATTAAGTTTTAGGCTAGCCGCTTCCTTTGAGCTGGTGGGTCCATTAAATTTAAATGGTCCAATTTTGTCCGATTGGACCGAATTGGTCCGGTTTTGACCGATATGGACTAATGTCGATTAGTTAACCCTCTAACACCTATTCATAGACGGTTGGAGGCCATCTAGCACCTAGGCACCAATTAATCGGCCGCCTAGGCCGATTTTTACAACCATGGTTTTTTCTTAATGGGTTGCAGATTTCGTGTATTAAGTTATGATTTCGTGTACAACTAAATTTTGGCGTTTTCTTCCAATTTTAAGCACTTATAACCTTTTCATATCGACTCTATTTTGGCTGATTTTATTTGCTATGGATTTCTTGTTATTAAACTCAAAACTACCCGACTTGCTTTCTTAAAGTTTGATCTATCAGCTTTAAATATAAAAATATAATATGTTGTACTTACAAATAAAAATCAATCAACATAGCACTTTCCATATATATATATATATATATATATATATATATATATATATATATATATATATATATATATATATATATATATATATATATATATATATATATATATATATATATATGGGAAGGTTCAATTGAGAAAAAAAAGTTGAGAATAGTGGAATCATTCTCAGTCAATCATTTATTTTTGCCGCAAAAGGCTTCAACGTACCGGGAAATGGGAAACGAATGCATATGTGTTTTCCAACATAACATATTTCCTTAAACTATGGTAAGCATTACCTTAATATATACAAAAACATAGTTTTTTTTCGTTTTTTTATTTTTATTGTTATAAGCTATTTTATCAAAAAATGATTTTAAATATACCAAAATTCATGATTTTTTATTCTCTACAAATAGATATCCATATTGATATAGTTTTAAGATAAAATAATTTTTTTTTATATTTTCAGCTATTATTATTCATAAATGAATTAACAGTGTATCAGATTTTATTAAAGTACATTCGTTATTCACTTATGAATAAAAAGTATGATTTTTTTTTTTTACAATTTAAATACCATTCATATATGAATATAGCATATAATAAACATAGTATATTCATATTTTAATATTGGACGATGAATTCACTTGTGAATATTAACATAATATATTCACTTGTGAATATTAGATGGTATATTCACTTATGAGTATTAAATGATATTTCATATGTGAATATATTACATAGTATTACATGGTATATCACATGTGAATATTACAGAGTATATTCACTTGTGAATATTAGATGATATATTCACTTATGAATATTACACAGTATATTCACATATGAATATTACAAGGTATATTCACTTATGAATATTGAATGTATTTTAACAAATATATATAATTTTTATATGTTATTTACATATGAATAACATACAGACTTGCATATTTGTTTTGTATTTTTAATAATCATATAATGATTCAGGTGAGAAAACATATTCATATGTGAATATAACGTGGTAATTTAGTTTATGCATTTCATCAAACAGTTGGAGTGCAAACAAGTTAACTATTTTAAAAATGTTAAAAACGTCAAGTTATCAATTCCAAATCATCATATACTTCCGATTTCGACTTCAGATGCGACATCGTATCTCTAATCGATTTCTCAATTTGATTTTGATTTCCTAAAATCCGATTGGGAACCTGTGAGTACCAATTCTAAGTCCCTCACTGTCGACTGTGATTGCGAGTTCAGAACTCCGATTCCAATTTCATGAACAACGAAGAAATTCCGGTTTAGTTGAAGAAATCTGGATGATTATTGAAGGTTGGAGGAAAATTTTTGATGATGATCGAATAGTTATCGAATTCTCTATAGTTACGTATTTGAGATTGAAGGTTATTACACTATTTATAAGTTTCACCGTGTCTTTTATGCTTAGATTAAATGAATGGCTGAGAATAATTCCCTCATTGTCAACATTTTTTTATTTTTTCATTTGAACCCACCTATATATATATATATATATATATATATATATATATATACACACACACACACACACACACACACACACACACACACACACACACACACACACACACACACACACACACACACACACACACACACGTTCCTTTTGCATTATATTCATTTTCACCTCAACTACACATTACAACCCTTACGTTACATTTTTATGCTTGTATCCCTAATTTCAATAGCCCCAAAACATGGGTGTTTGTCATTTTCTAAAACTTCTTTGTTTCGCTAATACTTTTGCTTCTTTTCACTATATGCATTATAGACTTTGAAGAAAAAGTAGAAAATTTAGTGAAACAAAGTTTTTTTTTCCACAAAATGACAAGCACTAAGGCTATGGAAATCGGGTATACAATCATAATAAATGTAATCTAAATGTTGTAGCATGAAGTTGAGACAAAAATGAATATAACGCAAAGAAGAACCAAAGTAATTGGATTAAGAAAAAGAGTGATTTTATATTTTATAGACTTATACAGTACAAAACTATAAAATATAAGTGTTCAATGTTGGAACACATACCAAAATTAAACCAAATGGCAACCCAATACACAAAATCATAGCCCAATACAAGAAATCGAAGTCCATTAGATCCCAACTATGATTTTAATTTCTTATTTTCATCACTTCTTATCCAAAACAACATTTTTTAGATCACGTTGAGTCCAAAACCGAACCTGAAAATTGATTCAGCCCTTTATTCAAAAGAAACTCTGTAGATCATTGTTAAAGATATCAAGAAAAGCATCCATTTGTTTCACCGGAAGTGACAACCCAATTCGCTAAGCATACAAACCTTTCCAACTGATCATCTTCATCGTTTCTTTCTTGAAACCCAACACGAGATTTAGCTATACAACTCCATACATAACCACATGCTACTGAAAACGACGATATGTATCCAGATGTTGGAAGTTGAATGGATACCCATTTCTTCATCGAACTGATTCTCTCTTTCGTCAAGAAAAACGTTGCTCGAACTTTAGAACTCGGGACAACAAGCTCAGGAATTTGATAATCTGCATTCAAAGCTTCAACACCAGGTTGGTTCATGAAGATTTCGTCTAAAGATTCTGGGTATTTGAGAAGTCGATCGTAAAACGGAAAGGACCCATTATATGTGTCATGTTTAGCAATCGAGGTCCACATCTTTAGGAAATCGAACTTGGTGGTTGCATCACAAAGAACATGGTGATTTCAGATTTGTGATCCCAATGGAGAAACCCAAGTTCTTGAAATACGTAACCTGAACTGCGAAAAGAGGAATGGAGAGAAATTCGGATGCATTAGTGACATGACCTAATGGAGGAACAAGAGGATAGAAGATGTCACATGCTCGAGGGTGGTTTCCTACAAGATCTTTGAAATCGAGATGAGATTCTGCGACTGTAAACTCGACAGAATTGCCATCAACATGACGGATTTCTGGTTTTGTTGGATTAGGAAAGACGATTAAGTTGCTTGCGAATGGGAAAAAGTGTTGAAGAGTGATGGATAATGAGTGTTTGAGAATGGGAAGAGCTGTTTGGGTGAATTTAGGTTTAGAATGTGGGAAATCGTAAAAGAAAAGCTGGTGAATCGGAAAGTGGAGCAGCCATATGATGTCGAAGAAAGTGAGGGGTAGTGAGTTCTCGCCGACGGTGGCCGACGGCGGAGATATTCTGCAGGTTTCAAGGACAGTCAACATATGGATACGGGTGTCGGCTGTTATTTAGTATTTACATATGGACACGATTTTAACGTGTTGATTTTTCAAGTCAACTTTTTTTTTGTTATTTTTACTATTTGGACTTTGGAGACCACTTTAACATATGGGGCTTTTTCAATTTCCTTATTAAGAAATGGGGTGATCGGCCCATCAACTCACCATTTTTTAGTTTATATCTTGCATTATAAATTCCATTGGTCTTTCCATTTTTAATTGTTATTTTAAAATGTAATTATATTTGATATGCACTTTTAGCAAGTTATATCATCGAAAATATCTCACTAATAAATAATAATAAAAAAAAAATAAAAAACATAAGGCTGGAGGGTACGTGTGAAAAGTTTTCCTCACTTTTTGTCTGTCACGTGATTCTTTTACTCGCCAAAAATCAAGGTGTATGTCGGAAATGTTTATTTATTATTTTTCTAAAAAATAAAAATAATTGATTTTTATGATTTAATTTTTTTTAAATGAGTAAAAAATATAAAATTAATTAAAAATAAAAACGACTACATTAATTAAAATAAAAGTTACATAAAAACCTAAGATTTAAATAACTAGAAAAAAAACAAACAAACAACAATCTGCCGAAAATATTTTTGCATAATCCGCTCATTTTTCTTTAAAATGAGCTCCAAAGCCGGTTCCAAAAGATGGTCAATGTTTTCCATCAAGAGTCCCATATCCTTCATTTCTTATTTCTCTGCACGCTCATTCTTTTTTGCTTATTCTTTTTCTTTGTCGAACGTCAAAAGTTTAGTGAAATTAAGATTATATTGATCAAATTCAGTTATTTTCCGCATTTGGTCCGTGTCCATGCTGAAATCCGATGCACCCCAAGAAGTCTCATTTCCCTTCCCTTTTGTTTTGCCCCTACCCATCAGTCGGGTAATTTTTTGTAGCTCGAGTTCGTCCACCTCATTTAAATCTAAACCGATCCGAGCATCAGAGGAAGTTGTGTAACCACTAGAGCCCGTTTCTGTTCGCTTTGATTGTTGTACTCCAAGTATAAACTATTGCTCGTATTTTTTCCACCCACGACTTTTAATCAACATTTTCCAACAATCGTGTCACTTGAATGACTTTCCCACTTCATCTAAAAAAATGCAAAGTTTCCTTAAGTATTTCTTCATCTTCTTGGTTTTATACCTTAAATAACTTTGGTTATAATTTTAAAATAAATTGTCAGTTCAATACATATCGATTGAAGGCAAACGGGCAACAAGTTGCACCGTTAGTCTTTTCTGGATGGCAAAACCAATTCTTTTGAAAACAACATTTGTGGATCTAGGAGATATGACATTATAATGCATGACTCGTTGGACTATATTAAGGAGCTCCACCGCCTCTAGTGCGAGAAAACCAAATGTATCGAATGCAAAAGGAACAAACACATGTTGATCTTCTTGGTCGCTTTTCTGTTGATTTTTAAGGTTTTTATATAACTCGTTCATTTTTTAAACGGTTTTCGCTATTTCTCGAAACGTTGAATTCAATTGATGATTAATACGATACTTGTCACCTTTTCCTATCTCCTTACGAAACCTCTCAAAAATGTGAAACCAAAAATGATCCGTCGCTTGTGCATTCCCATCGCCGAATCCTTTGAAATGTCAACCCAAGCTTTTACCACAATTATCTCTTCAAGTGGAGTCCATGGTTACGACTTCTGTCTTCCCGGTTGTACGACACCATCCTTCAATTGTTGTTTTCCTTTACGGCTCTGGAGGGGTGGTGTGGGTTGAGTTTCCCGCATAATCTCTTCATCCGACTCATCGAAGATTTAGTATTGTTGTTGAGATTGAGAGGGTTGTGTTTGGATTTGGATTTGAGATTGAAAGAGTGAGATTTGAGTTTGGGGTTGATTTGGTGAAAGTTGATCAAGAAATACAACAAAGTTTGATAACATATTTAGAGTAACATTTGAAACTTGCATCGGGTAAAATTGCTTAAAATTTTGTTATTAGAATTGTAATGGAGATTGATTGAGAGGATCGAGTTGTGGACGATAAACCTTTTGAGATGAATTGATAGCGAAAATGTTTCGAGTTGGGGTGCTTGAATTCGAAACATTTGTTTTTTTTTTTTTTTTTTTCCTTCTATCGGAGTTTGGAATTTGGTTGTCGGGATTCTTCTTTTTTTTTTTTTTTTTTTTTTTGAAGAAAATAGAGAGAAATTGATAGAAGGAGGTGAGCACGAGAGCACGATATGTTCCTCTTCTAATACTTGTTTTCCACAGACGGAACCCTAGCCAAAACCCACGAGAGCACCTTCCCTCTGGTGACGCTTCCAACCTGCAGGGCACATCGTTTGACTTTTTGTAGGACTTTCATGGAAAAGCTCATTACCATGCATTATAATTCAAGCTATTGCTTTTTAATCTTTCCAACCGAGCTATACTGGATCCATACACATGTCACATTCATATACAACTTCTAATACAAAAATACGAGTCATTACAGCGACATCGTCTAACTGTTTGATGATAGTTGCTCTAGAAATGAATTTAATTTTAATTATGGTGCCTGATATATAATGTCATCATATGACATTAGTGACATTAGTTTTAATTATACTTTAGAATGAGATAAGATCATATTCATTGAAGAGTTAAACAAAGCACTAATAACATTTTCAACATATTAAATAGAAAGAGAACCATGGATCTTATTATAGTAGTAACTAAATTCATTTTGTATATGGATCAACTACATAAGAATTTCATTCCAACATCTGTCAAACTTTAACTTCACTGGGTTGGCCATCTTACGCAAAAACTGATATTCACTTGTTTCCACTTCATCATTGCAACTTAATTTTATAAACTATCATAATTAAAAGAACATATTTGAAGTAGGATAAGAAGCACAAAACCTATTTGTAGCTTAGAGCACTTTATTGAAGAGATAATAAATAGTAAACTACATAAATAAGTTCTACAATAGATTACTTATAAATAAATAATATAAACATATAGCACATGATCATTGGTTCCAACATATTTTCCTTACTTATGCATTTTTTTATTGAACTTACTTTTATATATATATATATATATATATATATATATATATATATATATATATATATATATACACACACACACACACACACCGATTCTAGCAGATATCCAATGGGTAGCAGTTCCGTAAAAATAAAAGTCGGAACCAAAAATACTTAAGGTTGTTCCGATTCCGGAACCGACGGTTCCGAAGCGTCTCCGGATCCAAAAACGAATACCCAATTATGTTGATCATCCCATCTAGGACAAACAAATGATAATTATAAATTTCATCCAACTAAAAAAGAGTCGGAAGTTGCCCATTACTTAGAGCACTTTATTTTTTATGTAGTTTAGGGTTTAGGGTTTATTAGTGATACGATGTTTATATTATTTATTCATATGTAATCTATTCTAGAACTTATTTATGTAGTTTACTATTTACTATTTATGTAGTTTACTATTTATTGTAGAACTTATTTATGTAGTTTACTATTTATTATCTCGCAGCTAAAGACAAAGGAGGCTTGGGGATTGGGAGCCTAAAGGCACAAAATTTAGCCCTAATGGGTAAATGGTGGTGGAGATTCAAGAATTCAGGCAATAGTATGTGGGCTGAAGTGATCAAATCCATTTTCGGACCAGATGGTGGTTTCCACAGGCCCTCGGTTGCAAAGAGAAAGAGTGGGTGCTGGGGATCAATAGCAAACATCCCTAAAGACTTGGAAAAAGAAAATGTGCCTTTTCTGGAAAATTTCAAGTTGGTACCAACTAATGATGGGTCAATTAGATGGGGCTGGACTTTAGACCCATCAGGGATTTACACAGTTTCCTCTCTCAGGAGTTTTATAGATAGTTCAATCCTCCCATAAAGTAATGGTAAATGGGCTTGGAACCCGTTAGTCCCGGGGAAACTTAATATCTTAGCATGGCGGATAAGTCATGGGAAAATCCCAACCATGGCAAATTTATTTAAATTTGGTATCAGCCAAACTAGCGTATGCAGACTCTGTAATGATGCTCCTGAAACTGTATATCACATTTTAGTGGGATGTCCAATCTCAAAAGGTGTGTGGTGGCAGGTAAGCAAATGGTGGCATCTATTGGACCTCTCTTTCATCTCGGCTGGTGATCTGTTAAACTGCAAAGCAAAATTGAAAGGGCATCAGAGGCTATCCACAATTCACGAAGCTATAATGTTGGTGTATCTTTGGGTGATATGGAACTATTGAAACCAAACACTTCATGCTCCAAGTACAGGTTCAAAATCTGATTCGGCTTTGGCCTTCGAAGTAAAATCATTGGGTCATTTATGGACAAATGCACGGAATCGAAAGGGGACTTTTAATTGGCGGGAGTGGTGCTGTGACCCAATCCTTGAATGCTACAACAGGATTAAGTAGTCATGTTCTTATTTATCATTTTCTGACTTGAATTTTCCACAACACTCTTTGTTTGGGTTTTTTTTTCTTTCTTTTGTTTTTGTACCCCTAGCCCCTGGCTAGCTTTTCAGTTAATGGTTATTGCTTGCTTGTTGTTCAAAAAAAAAATCTCTTCAATGTTTTTTGTATAACCCTCCATGTTATACCCTATTGCTTGACCAATCTCAATAAAAGAATTAAGTTCTTCCAACATTGTAAAACCTTTTGGTTATACCCCATTGTTATATGGAAAACACAAACTCAAATGGTGGTCCCAAGGAAGTCGGATAGTCGCGAGGCTGAGAATGGTGGTTGGACAGATGTCTGGGGAAGAAGATACATTGTCAATCCAAACAAATATATTACCTCCTTCTTCGTATCCAATATCCCTGAAGGAACAAGCAGGTTCGTATTGAAAGAAGTTTTCAAGCCCTTTGGTAGAATCACAGACGTCTACATTTCCGGAAGAAAAAACAAAAGTGGATCTTATTTTGGGTTCATCAAATTTGGTGGTGTTAATTAAGGATGTGTATGAACTAGAGAGATCTTTGCAAATG